ATGGAAAACAATCCTACAAGCAAATGGAAGAAAAAAGAAGCAGGGACAGCTATACTTATATCAGATAAAACAGATTTCAAACTCAAAAAGGTAAAAAGAGACCACAACGGTCACTACATTATGATCAAGGGGACAATAGTTCAAGACGAAATAACACTCATTAACATATATTCACCAAATGAAGTAGCACCAAAATATATAAGACATCTATTGACATCTCTGAAAACAGACATCAGAGAAAACACATATGTAGTGGGAGACTTCAACACACAACTAACAGCAATGGATAGATCAATGAGACAAAAAATAAGTAAAGACACTAAAGCTCTAAATAAGAACCTAGAGTGCTTGGACTTAACAGACATCTATAGAACACTAAACCCCCCCAAAAAAAAAAAAAAAACAGAGTACACATTTTTCTCAAGCACACACGGATAATTCTCTAGGATCGATCACATTCTGGGACACAAGACAAACATCAACAGATACACCAAGATTGAAATCATACCAACCATCTTTTCTGACCATGAAGGCATCAAACTAGAAATAAACCATAAAAAGAAGGTAAGGAATTCTCCTACCTCATGGAGATTGAAAACCACACTACTAGAAGACAACTGGACTAATGAGGAGATGAAAGAAGAAATTAAAAAGTTCTTTCAATTGAATGACAAGGACACCAATTTCCTAAATGTATGGGATGCGGCAAAAGCAGTAATAAGAGGAAAATATATAGCAATAGAGGCTCACATCAAGAAACAAGAAAGAACTCAAAGAAACAACCTAATCTTGAAGCTCAAAGATCTAGAAAAAGAACAACAAAAAACCCCAAAACCAGAAGAAGAAAGGAAATAATAAATACCAAAGCATAAATAAATGAAATTGAAACTAAAAAAAAAAAAATCCAAAAGATCAATGAAACTAAGAGCTCATTCTTCAAAAAAATCAATAAAATAGACAAAACCCTAGCCAGGCTCACAAAGGGAAAAAATGAGAAAGCACAAATAAACAGGATCATCAATGAAAGAGGAGAAATCACAATGGACACAGGAGAAATCAAAAGAGTAACTACTAAGAACAGTTATATGGAAACAAGTTCAACAATCTAGAGGAGATGAACAAATTCCTACAACTCTATAATCACCCAAAGCTAGATAAAGAAGGAATAGAACACCTAAACAGACCAATTACAAGCAGCAAAATTGAAATGGTAATCAAAAACCTCCCCAAAAACAAAAGCCCAGGACCTGATGGATTTACAAATGAATTCTACCAAACATTCAGAGATGAATTAGTGCCTATCCTTCACAAACTCTTCCAAAAAATTGAGAAGGAAGGGACAATACCAAACACGTTCTATGAAGCCAATATTACACTAATACCAAAACCAAACAAGGACAACACAAAAAAGGAAAACTACAGGCCAATCTCCCTAATGAACACTGATGCAAAAATCCTCAATAAAAATTTAGCTATCAGAATCCAACAATGCATCCATAAGATAATTCACCACGACCAAGTAGGATTCATTCCAGGGACACAAGGATGGTTTAACATCCGAAAATCAATCAACATTATCCAACACATCAACAAGAAGAAATATAAAAACCATATGATAATATCAATAGATGCTGAGAAAGCTTTCGACGAAGTGCAACACCCATTCATGATAAAGGCCCTTGAAATTCTTGGGATACAAGAAACATACCTCAACATCACAAAGGTCATATATGACAAACCAACAGCCAGTATCATTCTCAATGGTGAGAAGCTGAAAGCAATTCCATTAAGATCTGGAACAAGACAAGGATGTCCACTCTCACCACTGCTTTTCAATATAATACTGGAAGTCCTAGCCAGAGCAATAAGACAAGAGAAAGCCATACAAGGAATCCAAATAGGAAAAGAAGAAGTCAAACTATCACTATTTGCAGATGATATGATAATATACATAGAGAACCCCAAAAACTCCATAGAAAAACTAATTCAACTCATCAATCAGTTCAGTAAAGTGGCAGGATACAAAATCAACACGCAAAAGTCAGTAGCCTTCCTATACACAAACAATAAATCTGAAGAAGTAGAAATAAAAAAAAAATCCCTTTTATTATCGAAACCAAAAAAATCAAATATTTGGGAATAAATCTAACCAAAGAGGTAAAGGACCTATACAAATAAAACTATTAAATAATGTTAAAAGAAATAGAAGAAGACACAAAAAAATGGAAAGTCATCCCTTGCTCATGGATTGGAAGAATAAACATTATTAAAATAGCCATCCTACCAAAAGCAATATACAGATTCAATGCTATTCCAATAAAAATTTCAATGTCATTCTTCAAAGAAATAGAACAATTACTGATGAAATTCATATGGAATCACAATAAACCCCGAATAGCCAAAGCTCTCCTGAAAATAAAAGGGAATGGAGGCATCACACTCCCAGACTTCAAACTATACTCCAAAGCCATCATCATCAAAATTGCATGGTATTGGAACAAAAACAGACATACAGACCAATGGAATTGAATAGAAAATCCATAAAACCCACAGACTTATGGTCAACTAATCTTTGACAAAGGAGCAAAGACTATGCATTGGAGCAAAGAAAGTTTGTTCAATAAATGGTGCTGGGAAAACTGTGTCGCTACATGCAAAAGAATGAAGCTTGACCACTACCTCACACCATACACAAAAATCAACTCAAAATGGATTAAAGAACTAGACATAAGACCTGAAACCATAAAATACATAGAAGGAAATATAGGCAAAACGCTACGTGATATTCACATCAAAGTCATCTTTACAGACACATCACCCAAAGCAGTGATAGTGAAGGCAAAGATAAACAGCTGGGACTGCATCAAATTAAAGAGCTTCTGCACAGCAAAAGAGACAATAACAAAAACAAAGGGAAACCCACCAACTGGGAGAACATTTTTGCACACAACACTAATGATAAAGGACTGATCTCAAAAATCTGCAAAGAGCTGATGAGACTCAACAAAAACAAAGAAAATAATCCAGTGAAAAAATGTGCAGAAGAGCTAAAAAGAAACTTCTCTGAAGAGGAAATGCAAATGGCCAACAGGCATATGAAAAAATGTTCAACATCACTTGTAATCAGGGAAATGCAAATCAAAACTACCATGAGATACCATCTTACACGAGTGAGAATGGCACATATTAAAAAAAAACTAGCAACAACAAATGTTGGTGAGGGTGTGGAGAGAAAGGAACTCTCCTGCACTGTTGGTGGGAGTGCAAACTGGTCCAACCACTATGGAGAGCTGTGTGGAGATTTCTGGACCTACTAAACATAGAGTTTCCATATGATCCAGCAATTCCACTCCTAGGTATTTACCCAAAGGACACAGAAACATCAATTCCAAAGAGCACCTGCACCCCTATGTTTATAGCAGCACTGTTTACAATAGCTAAGCTTTGGAAACAGCCCAAATGCCCAAAAATGTATGACTGGATCAAGAAGATGTGGTCCATATACACAATGGAATATTACTCCATATACACAATGGAATATTACTCAGCATTCAAAAAAGATAAACTCATGGCATTTGCAGCAACATGGACGGAGTAGGAAGGGATCATGCTCACCAAAATAAACCAGAAAGAAAAAGAAAAATACTGGATAGTCTCACTCATAGCAGGAATTTAGAAAACCTAAATAAGGGACCAGGAAAAAGACTAATTATAATAAAGTAAAAATCAAAATCAACAAGCAACCATAAACCAGAGATACACTATGGGAGTTTGATGAGCGAAGGAGGGTTTAGTGTCAAAATAAGGGGGGTGTGAATTATATGGGGAATATAACCAAAATGAAAATGCATACATTGTGCAAAAATTTAAAATGATGTAAAAATAAATAAAATGATAAAAAGCTAGGCAAGTAGGGTGTGAAAGTACACACCCACATGCACACACCCCAAGCTACAGACCCATGCCTTCATCAACATAGATATAAAAATCCTTAATAAAATGTCACCAAATTCAATCTAACAATGTATATATAGTTGTTTATCAGTTAGAATATATTCCAGATATATAAAGCTGGATTCATATTTTAAAAATATTTATGCAATCTGTCAAGTTAGTTGTCTAAAGGAGAAAAATGTATGATTAAATCAATTGATAGATTAAAAAAATGGTGAAATCAAATTGAGTCATGATAAAAATTCTAATTACAGTAGGAATAGAGGGAAACATTACTCAAAATCAGGCACTTGCAGAAATCTACAGCTAGCATCATATTTATTGAACACATTAGAATAAACATGCTAATGTCAGGGAAAAGCAAGAACTTTTTGTCTCACCACACCTATTAAACACGTTTCTAGAGTTCTTGCTTCTGCAATTAGATGTGAGAAATAAACAGAATGAAAAATGGAGAAGACAAAGTAAATCTGCCTCTATTTGCAGACAACATCGTTGTCTGCATGGAAGACACCATGGGATGCACAAAATTGATATGGAAACTCCTAGAACAAATAAGACAATAATGAACAAGTGGAAACCCATATAAAATGCAATCCTTATTTTAACAATTAAATACTGAGGCATAAATACAATAAAATATGCAAAGGGTCTGTTCAATATAATTTACAAAATACTACTGAGAAAAACCAAATAAGACCTAGTGCTTCATGGATTATGGTGTTCCAAGAGTGGAAGACTTAACCATAGTAATGCCAACTCCTATGTTTGGGAAGTTATACATCTCTTTAAATCGATAGGTAGGCTTAACATACATATACCTATACAAATATGCACCATTAGTTTTTAACAAGGAGCAAAATCTCAGCAATTGAGGAAGAATAGTCTTTTGAATAAATGATGCTGGAGCAATTGAATATGCATAGGCAAAAAACTCCTTAATCTTGTCCTAAACCTCACATCGTATATGAAAATTAACTCAAGTTGAATCATCTTTCTTAAAAGTAAAATATAAAAGTATGAAACTTTTAAACATCATAGAATATATTAAACTGGAAATCAAGTGCACTATATATAAAATTGAATATTGATAAATTGGACTCCAGAATATTAAATACTTTTGCTCTGTGGATGACTCTGTTGAGAGGATGAAAACACACATTACAGACTAAAAGAAAATATTTACATACATAATAAAGGACTTGTATCTAGAATGCAAAAAAATCTCTCAAAACTGGGCCTCCCTGGTGGTGCAGGGATTATTACTGAATTTGATCCCTGGCCAGGGAGCTACCCACATGGCAAAGCAGACCCCTCCTGTCTCGCCTGCTGCTCCTCTCAGCAATGTGTTTCAGTACATAGATTTGTTCTGCTCCCCACTCTCTCTCTGATGAATCCTCCTACCTCCCACACCTCTGGCTTACACCTCAGTTCTTGTATGCATAAATAAATAAATCTTTTTTTAAAAATCCCTCAAAACTTGACAGAAAAGACAAATAATTCAGAAGAGAACGGGCAACGAAATGCACAATTAACTGAAGACGCTATACAGATATCATACAGATACATGATAAGAGTCAATACCATTAACCATTACATAAATTCAAATTAAAACCAAAATGAGAGCTACTACTTACCTACCAGAATGGTTAAAACATGATAACATTCAATGATGGTGAGGCTACAGTGAAACCAGTTCTCTCACACATTGCTGGTGCGCAGAGTCACGGCTAGACGGCACCCCGAGCGGCGTCCACGTCCTCCACCCCAGCTCTCTGCAGGAGGACGGCCCCGATCACTCTCTCCTCAGGACTGAGAGTGTCCACACTTCACCTCACCTTGGCCGACATGTCGGTCACCGCAGCCAAGCCAGGAAAGTCTCATGACACTAGCTGGAAACAACGCGGCCTCTCCCCGCCCGAGACTGCTTGATGCTCATCCCTGCTTGTGAGAAGGTGAGCAGCTCATCCTGGCCTGCTCTTGGGATGTATTTTCTGTCTCTCAAGATGTTCCACATAATCTTGCACACATCCAAGTTTTTACAGATTTGTTTCATGAATCTACACATACTTATTAGTAGTATTCTTCAAAATGATATCACAAGTCAGATTTATAACTAAGGATTTGATAAGGTAACTCTAGCTCAATTATTTATTTGGCTTTCCAAAATACTTGTTTAACAAATAGTTAAGATTTATTTATTTATGCACACAAGAGCTGGGGTACAGGCCGTAGATGGTGGGGTTGAGAGGATTCCCCAGAGACAGAGCAGGGAACAGATCAGGCCAACTGACAAAATACACTGCTGAGGGGTGCAACAGGCCAGTCAGGAGAGGTCTGAGGCACATGGCAGTCAGCTCCCTGGTTGGCTGGGGATCCAACTTGTGCACAGTGGCTGGCAGTAGTTTGAGAGCACTGTGTTTAACCCCTGGGCCACCAGGGAGGCCCCTTACCTTTAGTTTGAGATCAGAAGTGTGACTCCTTCATTTCCCCCCACTTTTAATCAGGAAAGCTTTGGTTATTTGGGGTCTGATGTGTTTCCATATGAACCTCAGTAATCTTTGTTCTATTCCTCTGAAGAATGCCATCGGGATATTTATTGGGGTTGCAGTGATTCTAGAAGGGGCTTTGGGTTGGATAAATCCAGGCCCTTTGGACAATGTTGATTCTTCCACCCCATGAGCTGGGTCTTTCTTTCCATTTCTCTACGCTTTCTATTATTTTTTTCCACAATGTTTGATAGTTTTCCTTGTAAAAGTCTTTCAGTTCCTCTGTTAAATTTATTCCCAGTTATTTTTTTTTTTGCATGTGCAATTGTAGGTGGCATGACTTTGTTAATTTCCTCTTCTAGTTCATTATTTGTACTTAGGAAGGCATATGTTTTTCAATGCAGAGTTTGGTGGCATTACATACACTCACTCTGTCGTATAACTCTTATTTCTGAAACCAGGGTGTCCCAAAGGCTTACATACACCCCCAAAATAGACCTGCGTTCTTTCTGCTCATTGCTTAACCCTTTGCACTCCGCTGTCCCCTCTCAGGGGACATTGGAATTCTAGCATATCACTCGGATGTCCCCTCTCAGGGGACATTGCAATTTATTAGTGATTATGGGGAATTGAGTTATTTCAATGCAACTTTTTGAGACATGCATGTTTCCCTGAAGTTTTATCTTGAAATGGCACAGGAAATTAAATAAAAATATCGTAAAATTACTAAGATATATACAAGAAATGTCACCGGGTTTTGTGTCGGACGAGAATGTGAGATGCGTGCTCACGATGGTCAGAACACTTCAAAACACCACTTGAAAAGAGTGATAAGGGGAGTTTGTAGAAGAAAGGTCGGTTTTCAAACATAGTGCACACTGTGTAGTGAGATATATAATTAAAAATAAACAAGTCTACATCTGGAGGAAAAGATTTTCAAAGCTGAGGTCATTTTGGTTTGAAGCTTCGAGCAGTGCACAATGATCTAACGAGGAGAAAATCGGAAAAGTGATTCTTTTCTTAGTGAATAAATTGTTTGGTGAAAGCTATTTTGGTAAATATCATCTTGTCAGCTAGTAATAACAATTAGAAATTTTCAACCCATGCATTTATTCATATTTTTATTAGAACAATGGCAAAGCGTCCAACCACGAATGAGTCTCATGACACAAGTAGTAGTAAAGATGAGCTCCACTAATCAGCCCACAATGCATATTGGGGAGTGTTACAAAATTTATCATACTGTACAAAATTATAAACAATAAAATATTGTTTTTTTTGGGCATATACATTCCTCGATGTCACCCAATTTATGTAAGTACAATATCATTCTAATATGTTACTTGGTTCCAAAATTATAATAAATAATACGAGGGTCTGTAAATGCACGTTTCCGCCGCAAACTAGCGTCGAATAGCTGGTAGCCAATGTCCAGAATGGTTCGGAGTGCAAAGGGTTAAAAGTCAAACTATTCTTTGTCTTCTAGCCTGGCTACATTACCAAGACGAACATGTTCTTCCCGAGCAGTTCTGCTTCTCCAGAGAAAGAGAACCTCGCAGCCCAAGACCGGCCATCCACCTCGGTCTTATGGGTACACTCCCTTTCATCCAGGGGATGAACTTAGGGGTGGGGGCGACCAAGGGAGATGGCACAGACCTGCAAGTAGCACACACCTCTTGTCCCCATATCCGAAGGATAAGCACCCCACAGAAGAATGGACCCATAGCCTCCCTGCTCCATAAGTCTCAGACCGTGAAGCTGTCCACAGCCACTGCAGCAAGAACTCCATCCCCAGCCAGGGAGCTGACCCACAAGGCGCAGCACCTCTCCTGTCTCCCCGCGGCTCCCCTCAGCAGTGGATTTCAGTGGATCTGCCTGTTCTGCTCCCCACTCGTCTCTGGGGAGTCCTCCCCCGCCCTGGTCCACTCCCTGCCCCTGGAGCTCAGGGTTCCTCAGGGTTCCTGTAGTGTCCTCACCGCTGGAGCATGGACAGTGTCTCTGGGCTGTGCTGATCCTGCACGTCCTGACCCCGGGATGTGGCTGAGCTGGGCAAGGTCCCCACGGAGCACGGTGGAGGCCATTCCTGGGCCTCCGCCCACCCATCCAAATAAGCCTCACCCGCCACACCCCTGGACGCCCCAACACACCTCTAGGGGGACGTGACGCGAGTCCCCTGAACCCCTCACCTTCAGAGCAGAGAGTGACACTTGCTGCAACAGCCCACATTGGTCACGTCACAGCAACAGACACTTCCAGGGAACGTGGCACTAGCAGAGGAGCGTTGTCTTAGCAAACCCTGCAGGCCTCTTTGGACCAGGTCTGAGGTGAAGGCTGAGGGGCCCGATGCCATCTTTAATGGGCGCTCAAGGACACCTAGGAGCCTGCAGCATCGTGGAAAGCGGCCTGCGGCCTAGGGGTGAAAACCTCAGCAACCTCCCACGGCGCATTGAGGAATATGGCCCGTGGCCCCGACACTCCAGGTGGAGTTTAAAGGGACCAATGTACCTCCTGATTCAGTCCTAACCCCTGAATCAGGGAAGATGCTCTCAGGGGACAGACACCCCGACAGTCACCAAACTGGAAACACAGGATGGGGGCTCTGGCCATAGAGATGTTCCTGACGGAGGAAGCTGCGTAGAGGGCACGGACAGGGAGGAGCGGGCGCCCAAGTCCCAAATCCATGATCAGAGAAACAATCCCCGACGGAGGGGCCCCAAGCCCAGCCCTGCAGAGAGGACGCTGAGTAGCCTACACAGGGCACGACTGCAAATCCACAGACAGAGGCTAGGTGTGGACATGCAGGCGATTAACGGGGGCAAACTCAGCGGGCCTCGGAGCCTCGGGAGAGACCTCAGGCCAAGCACTTCAGCAAGAGACACGCCACAGAGACCCCCACCACCAGCACCCGCTCCCTGCCCGCCACAGCCATGGGAGCCCCTGCTTCTCGGCCCCAGCAGCCACCCCTCGGGACCGTTCTGCTCAGGGAGCTTTCTTGTCCTTACTCCTGTAGTAAATCTCTGGCTCTTCTGAAACTCTGGGCTCCACCTGGAAGTACTTTCGTACCAAAGACAAGAAATGAGGAAGAGCACACCCGAGGCCTCAGACTCCGGGCCTGCTGCACAAACTCTCCGCTCGACATCACCACGGAGCCAAAGAAAGACCCCAGAAGGTGCCCGGGGCCCCTGAGGGGGGAGTGGTAGCGAGAGTTACATCAAGGACATCATCAGCCACCACCTAATACACCGACCACTCACCCCAAGGTATGAACTGACTCAGACAAAGACCACATTCAGGGCACGGCCAGCAATGGCGGAAGGGATTATGTTCTGAACAAAGAGTGAAGGAAGAAGACCTGGATTACATCATCACCTCCAGGAGGAATACAGGGGAATGAAGAAAGGATCAGGGGAAAAAGACAAAACTAGCAGGCAGATGACAGAGCTGAGATGCCAGCAGGGGATGGGGCAGAACAGGGGCCAGGAGGGGAGGAGCAGCACCAGGGCCTGGGGTGACGGGTCTCAGATGCGGTGCAGACAGGACATTTGCAAGAATTATACAGAAGGGGAGCAATCCAATAGTGCACAAAGATGAACAACAATTTAATAAAAAAAAAATAACAGGCAAGAAACCTTTCCTTTAAAAAAAATTCAGGGGCCTCTGTTGGCGCAGGGGTGAAGTCTCAGCACTACGAAGCTGTTCTCAGTACTGCAGACACGAGTTCGATCCCTGGCCAGGGAGGTGCCCCACGGGCACAGTAGACCTCTCCTGTGGCCCCACTGGCCCCCTCAGCAGTGGATTTCAGTAGATCCACCTGTTGTGCACCCCACTCTCTCTGTGGAGAATCCTCTCACCCCCTCATACCTCCGGCTTGCACCCCAGATCTTGTATGCAGAATTAATCTTCCAACAAAATTCCCTTATTTTGTAGAACTGGGGTGTAGACCAGAGGTTCGGGGGTGAGAGGATTCACCAGATACTGAGTGTGGTGACAAACAGGCAGAACCACTGAAATACATGGCTAACGGGAGCAGCGTGTGACACAGGAGAGGCATGTTGTGGCCATATGTGGGGCGGCTCCCTAGCTAGGGCTGAAACCCTGGCCAGAGCAGGTAATAGCGCTGAGATTTAAACCCCAAGGCCACCAGGGAGGCCCCGAAAATCCTTCATCATGAAAGGTAGGTAAAGACAGCCGCAGACCTCAACCTATAGCCAAGAGCACACAGTTCAACATTTCCTTCTAGAGGAGGACATTTTGGTGGTGAGCAATTCCAGCATCGGGGGGCACCACAAAGACTTAGAGTACTGGACAGAATGTGACGACTAAGTTAGAAAACCCAGAGAGACCACTTACCCACGCAACATGCAGTGTGCCATGTAGACAGACAGCTGCTGTGGACAGGCATAGCATCGCCCAGGAACTTAAGAGGATACTAGAAGCAACGGCAACAGGAACAACGACATCATCACTGCATGAACTTGGGAGAACAGAGTGAACCAGGTAACTCCAAGCAATTAAGATTGAAACTATGTCAGTTCCCATTGATCTCAGCTGCATGATGTGGTTTGAGCTCCTAACTTTGAATATTTTTAAAAGATTTTTATTTATTCAAGCATACAAGAACCAGGGTACAGGCCAGATGTGTGGGAGGGTGAGAGGATGCACCAGAGACAGAGCGGGGAACAGAACAGGCAGACTGACCGAAATACAATGCTGAAATACACGCAGCGGGCCAGACAGGAGAGGTCTGCCGCACCATGGGGTTGCTCCTGGCCAGCCAGGGAATCAAACTCCCACCACAAAGGCCATGGACAGCTTCACAGCGCTGCGCTCAACCACCTGCACCACCAGGGGAGGCCTGCCTGTCCACTCTTGACATTCATAGCATTTCCTTCCAGTGTGGAGTTTGTCATGCCTAGTGAGGGCTGACTTCCTGAAAAGTTTTCCCACTCTTCACAATCATAGGGATTTTGTCCAGTGACATCTCTGATGTCCAGTGAGAGCTTGCTTACTGGAAAAAGTTTTCCCACGCTCTTGACACTCATAAGGCTTCTCTCCACTGTGATTTCTCTGATGTTTACTGAGGGATGATTTCTGGCGGAAAGCCTTCCCACATTCTTGACACTCATAGGATTTCTCTCCACTATGAATTCTCTGATGTGTAATGAGGTGTGGCTTACTAGAAAAAGCTTTCCCACACCCTTCACAATCAAAGGGTTTCTCTCCAGTGTGACTTCTCTGATGTCTAATGAGGTTTGACTTACAGGAAAAAGCTTTCCCACACCCTTCACAATCACAGGGTTTCTCTCCAGTGTGAATTCTCTGATGTTTACTGAGGGATGATTTCCAGAGGAAAGTCTTCCTACACTTGACATTCATAAGGCTTCTCTTCAGTGTGAATTCTCTGATGCTCACTGAGGTAACACTTACTGGAAAAAGCTTTCCCACACCCTTCACATTCATAGGGTTTCTGTCCAGTGTGAATTCTCTGATGTCTAATAAGGTGTGCCTTACTAGAAAAAGCTTTCCCACACCTTTCACAATCATAGAGTTTCTCTCCAGTGTGAATTCTCTGATGGAGACTGAGGGATGACTTCCTAGAAAAAGCTTTCCCACACTCTTCACAATAATAGGGTTTCTCTCCAGTGTGAATTCTGTCATGTTTATTGAGGTTTGATTTCAAGAGAAAAGTCTTCCTACACTCGACATTCATAAGGCTTCTCTTCAGTGTGAATTCTCTGATGTTTACTGAGGGATGATTTCCAGGGGAAAGTCTTCCTACACTCTTGACATTCATAAGGCTTCTCTCCACTGTGAATTGTCTGATGCTCACTGAGGTAATATTTACTGGAAAAAGCTTTACCACACCCTTCACATTCATAGGGTTTCTCTCCAGTGTGAATTCTCTGATGTCTAATAAGGTGTGCCTTACTAGAAAAAGCTTTCCCACACCCTTCACAATCATAGAGTTTCTCTCCAGTGTGAATTCTCTGATGGAGACTGAGGGATGATTTCCAGAGGAAAGTCTTCCTACACTCTTGACATTCGTAAGGCTTCTCTCCAGTGTGAATTCTCTGATGCTCAGTAAGGTGAGCCTTCCTGGAAAAAGCTTTCCCACACCCTTCACATTCATAGCATTTCTCTCCAGTGTGAGTCCTCTCATGTAGAACAAGAACTGACTTACAGGAGAACACTTTCCTGCACGCCTGACATTCATAGGGTTTCTCCCTTGTATGAGTTCTCTGATGGACACTAAAAGCAGGTTTCCACCTGAAAGTTGTCTTACACACCTGACACGGGTAGCGCTTCACTCCCGTTTGAGATTGTGGATGTAAAGTGAGGGCAGTCTTCCATGAGTAAGTTTTCACATAATCGTTAGAGCCAAACAACTTCACTGCAGTGAGATTTCTCTGGTATCCCCTCTGTAAGGAAATCTCAGCGGTGCCCCCACACTCATCAGGTTGATCGTCTGCTTGTGTTTTCTGATGTTCAGTCAGAACAGAGGTTTTAGAGGCCGCTTCACCATATCTCTTATATCCCAAATTATTCTTTCCTAACTGGGTACTCTCACACGGATAGGTGTGAAATGTTTTTCTGAGACTGGCCCCACTTTCACAACATTTCTGCTGCTTATGTTCAAGATACCTAGGAGGATTCAAATGAACTGGAGTCATCTCCGCTGCTCTCCCCTTTTCATTACAACTGCAGGGAGTCTGTCTTCCTTGGGTTCTGTCTCGGACAACGAAAGGCACCTCATCACGGGTGTCCCTGCACTCATTGCATTTACGGACAATCCCTTCCAGAAGGGCTCCTCTAGGTGTAAATACTATTTCTTCACTCACGACTTTTCCTTGTTCACAAAATTCAAAAGGCTGTTGAAAGTTCTGAATCACCTGGTGACTAAGGTGCTCAGGATACTTGATGGGTTCCCTCATTCTACTAAAAACCTCCTCGTTCTCTCTAGCATGCCCTTCATGAGGCTCACCAGGGATCATCATGGTCCTATGTATAGTAAAGTCCTCAGGCATCATCGCTGAATTGTTTTCATTTTTGATACTATGGTTCAAACAATGAATTGAGTGCAAATTGTTTTTTTCCATTAAGTCAGTTCTCTCGTTGGATGGTATTTTGCTGCTGTTGGTAAGAACTTGCCACACATGTCTGCCCTGATTTGCAGGGCTGTCCTGAGTCAGGTGATCCACAGTATGGACATCTAAAGTGAGATAAAAATGACCATGTCTCTAAAAAGGAAGCATTTTGAGTGAATACTACCAAGCGGCACGAAAGTTCCTATATTACAAAATAATTTACAGGTATTAATTTTCTGATTCATGTGTTTTGCCCATAGTAAATTATGGGGAGAATAGATTTTTTGGTATTTTTTTACTTTAGCATAGGAGATCTGGGGTGTAGGCCAGAGGTGCAGGAGTGGGGGTGCTGTAGGGGAGTGTGCTGTAGGGGAGTGTGTTGACCAGAACAGGCGGACTGACTGAAATACACTGTTGAGGGGAGCGGCAGGTGAGACTGGAGAGATTTGCTGTGCCAAAGTCGGTGAACTCCTTCACTGTGGATCAAACTCAGGCCATAATAGTGAGAGCTAAGAGACTTAATCCCTAGGCCTCCAGGGAGGCCCCAATTAACAGATTTTCTAATGCCAAACCAGGATAACAAAGCAGTAAATCTAATTTCACAATGGTTTTATAAAATCATAAATATTTGCTAAATATAGTCTTTTAACTAGAGTTGTCGATTTCAACCAGAAGCATTTCACCCAACATAGATCCTACACACCTTCTTTCTTAGACTGACCCTGTGCAACTCTTGAGGGTACTTTCTGAATAACCAAGCCCTGCAGAGGCCATGGCTTTCCCAGAAACCCGTGGACTGAGAGACCCAGTCATTGCCCAGGCACTTTAAGCAAGAGGCCTGCTGAGACACAAGGACTCTGCTTCTCCATTTCCTTAGTTCTTCTTTCGACTCTGGCCCTGGCCACGGTCACCTGCAGAGGTTCTCAGAGGCATGTGCTTCCCTCCATGGAAGAGACCAGTCAGTTCATATTTAAATATCATATCACATTAAGGCTCAGAATCCTAATACATGCAGCAAACTCCGCCTCATCATTGTGTCCCACGTTCCTGCTAAGTGATAGGAAAAAAGTTCTGCATCCATCCTGTGCTATCAGCGTTAAAGTCTTTTCTCACATCCTTCTGAGAGCAACACCCTGGTGGTCTCAACGCACTCCCTGGAACCTGTGTTTCTGCTTTGTTCATAGCAGCTCCAGTTTCTATGTTGTGTGTGACTCTCAGCTACATCACACTGTCGTAGATTCCTTTACTTTCCTCCCAACGATTCCCACGAGAAGGTGGAATTGCACAGGTCACACTGCTCCTCAAGGTATGAGCCCCCACCTGAAACTCTTAGTGCCATGGCTTTAGAAACCACCACCTCAGGTTCCCCCTCCCATGTCACAGAACATCCCTTCCAACGCTGAACAATTCTGGGTCCTCCTCAGCCTCACAATTACTATGAGGGCGGTCACAAGGCTTGCCCTGAAACACTACTCATGTTCTAAATAACTCTCCAGTCAACGCCTCTCTATCCCTTTTGAGTTAGTCACCTGCTCAGTGACATCTCCAATAGCAATACATAGCCTCTATCCCAGACTGCAGAGGGAACTATAGATATGACATGTCAGTGCAACCCATTCACCTCACCTGAGCTCTGAAAGAAAATAATTAATCTCTATAATGATGCGTATGGAGCACACACAAAAACAACATTCTCCACTCTGTTTAACTCATGCTGGTCAAAGATCTCTGTGGCTTTACCTCTCTATTAATAAATGTATTTATTACATATTCTTTCCTCACAAAGTGTATAACTTCAGAATGTAAAGATCATTTCTGTGAGTACTGTTGCTCTCCCCGCTCAGAAAATTTACCACTGGCTAAACTTCCCATAAACATACAGAAAGAATAAAAAAAATTCCTCAACAGGAACCTAAAGAAAACAGTCTATGAGAATACACTAAGAGAGAGAATAGAGATATGTGATTACTGCAGAATCATCCCCATGTATCAGGGACTGCATACTGGTTTAAGAACATAAACAACCATTTTTAAAAGAGCAGGACGAAATTCACAAGAGAGTAATATTTGGAAACTGAATAAAGAATCAGTTTGATATATGCAGACACACTCTTCAAGATTGGACACTGAAAAAGCACCTCAGTGTGGCCAATATCACTGGCCACACTCCCAGCCTCCTCTCAGCCTCCCGGCCTGGCAAGCACTGACTGACCTGAGAGGTCCTGGTTTGGGGGATCGTCCACAGTCCCCGGCTGTAATCCCTGCTCCGACCTGATGCTCTCCTCAGGATCGGTAACACAGTGCCCTGTGATGAGAAACAGTGTTGGTCTTCGATCAAGTTCAACTTCAGTCTTTGAAAACTAACAAATGCAGTGTGAAGAGCTGTGCAAAAGAGGCCAATCTGAATCTTTCCAAACGAAAACCGAAACACCCACAATGTACACTGCCTGCCATGTTCAACCTCACCAACACTCAGTTTCATAAGCAAGTGCACACTTATCAGTGCAGAAGACACCATTGCACTAGAGTGTTACACTGGAGCTTCCTCACCTAGGGACACCAGGTGATTGCAGGTCTCCAGCATCACATCCCGGTACAGGGTCCTCTGAGCTTCACTCAGGTACCGCCACTCCTGCCACGTGAAGTTCACAGCCACATCTTCAAATGACACCATCCCTTCTGAGGGAACATTTCTCATCTCAGGGCCGGCAGCCTGGGTCAGACAGAGCAAGTGCAAACAAATCTTATTTTGTGGGTCTTCGGTCCTGTATAGAATTCGCAGTTGAAAGAGCCTCGCCTCTACATTCACCCCTTTGGTCCTACAAGTAAAATTATAGCTTACCTTATATATTTGAAGTGTCTATGATTGTAAGAATAAAAGGATGAATAAAATTGGCTCCTTGAGGAGCTGATAGCCTGGCTGGCAGGTGTAACAGACATACACCCGGAATCATGTGCTAAAGGAGCTTCATAACAAATGAAAAGCATGTGCAACTTTGTGCCAATATTTTACTCCCGTGACCTCAAAGCCTGCTATCTCCAACTCACAGTAAACGAAAACTGAACCCGAAAACAGGATGTTCAAGCAATGAGGTGGGAAAAAGCAAAGGTAAGAGATGTTCAACTACAAGCAAGTATAAACCAGAGATGCACTATGGGGGGTGGAGAGATTAGGGTTAAAATAAGGGGGGTGGGATGTATGGGGACTATAACCAAGATGAAAAATGCATAACTTGTGCAGAAATAAAAAATGATGTAAAATATATATAAAATAAAATTTTAAGAAAAGATGTTCAGCTGACAGAGTCAGAAGAAGACAGATCAGGTCATCACTTCTAAAATGGAAGGACAAAGGGGAGGAGAACTTGGTAATAACTTGGTGGCTGAGGTACGAGGAATGTTTTCCTAATATGCTGTCTGCATGACGGGCTGGTAGACACTGGAATTCCACACACAACTGGACATGTGTCTGGTAGATCAGGAAGTCTAAGGTGAAAACAGAAATTTGAGAATCAGGTCCTCCCAGGTGGCACAAGAGTTTAAGTCTAAGCACTATGAAGCTATTGGCAGTTGCTGCAGCAAAAATTCAATCCCCAACCAGGGAGCTATCCACAAGGCGCAGCAGACCTCTCCTGTCTCCCCGCTGCTCCCCTCAGCAGTGTATTTCAGTCAGTCTGCCTGTTCTGTTCCTCGCTCTGTCTCTGGTGAATCCTCTCACCCCCTGCACCTGTGGCCTACACCCGAGCGTTTATATGCATACATAAAATAAATATTAAAGAAAATAAAGAATATGGGAATCTCCAGGATATTATTGATAGTTTTCATCACCGTAGGGGAGAACACGTTGACCAGAACAAAAGGTATTGAAAGAACAGGAAAAACAACTAGAAGAGACAGATATTTCTTTTCGAGAAAGAAAAAAATAGATCATAGCAATGAAAGAGTTTTGAAAAATAAGATACACGGTATAAGAAAACAAACATCTTATGAAATCCGTAAATTTATTCCATCATTTCCTTTCCTGTGTAGTAAATCCTGTGCACCTCCACATACATATAGAATAGGAACCCATTAAAATAAATTTCCATTTGTATTAGCTAAAAAAGGATTCAGAGGATTTTTCCTCAACACAAATCAAGTCCTTGACAGCCACAGGCGACATCAACATTCCCAGTGAGAGAAGGACTAACAAAGACGCTCAGTGTCCCCTATTCAAAATGGGTTTGGGTGACGCTACGTAACAACAACAACAACAAAAAGACAACATACATAAAAATGGTCATAACTAGTTATAATTCATTCTTGGAAAACTAATGAAAGCCACAGGAAAGCGACTCTGGAAAGGAAAACCCAGTGAGCAGACTATAACACACACCCATGTTCACACACACAGGAGCTCCTGTACGCTGCCAGTGAAATGACAAAACAGTAAGCAATGCATGTAGCGGAACCAAGGGCAGAGACTTGCTGGAATAAAGAAACCTGGAGGGTTAAACAATGAATAAAACAAATGCAAAGACACAACAGCATCCAGGACACGATGAGCCTGATGCACTGACAGGAACTCTTGCAAGGTAACCCGGCACATCCCAGTTCTAGGAAAACAAAAATGCATTTACTTACAGGCTCATTGATTAAAACACTAATACGAGAAATAAAACAACAGCAAAGAAAGAGAAGGTGGATGGCTCATGTCTGCGCACAGAAACTCACGGGGACCTCCCAGCAGGAGTGGGCTCAGGATGCCATAAAAGGACCATACGATGAAATGGGACAATACAATCCCCTCACGCTTTCGACCCTGTTCAAAATGGAAATGTGCAGCAATGAGTAAAGGACTGGAATACACAGCTCTGCAAATCACATACCCAAGCGGGTCCTAACACATGAACGTTCTCAATACGATCAGTCACGAAGGAAAAATGAATCAGAAGTACAAGAGATGAGATTTTACGTCCGCTGGGATCGCAATGATTTAAAAAGAAAGAAAAGAACAAGTACTGGCAAAAATTTGGACCTGGCTCCCTTGCGCACTGTTGGGGCAAACATAAATGATGCAGCCAGGAGGGAAGACAGGAAGGTGATTCTTGGGAAAAGGGAAATCAGAATGACAGGAGTACCCACCCCCACCCCAGGGTGTTCACCAATAGCAGGGACAGCAGGAACGGGCAGAGACGTTTGCTCACCTACTGTCACTGCACCACCAGTCATTACAGCCCAAAGCAAAATCAACCCAAGCCCCAGGTGATGGATTAATGGATAAATAAGACTGGAAAATACACATAAGATATTATTAATGAGCCTCACAATGGAACTAAACAATGACACACACTACAATATGAATGCACTCCTGTACGATACCTATGAAATGACAAAACAGTTAACAATGCAATAAAATAAGAGATTCACCAAGAAAACAAGGTGTAATAAGACTCCATTCATACAGGTCTGAGTTGTCAAACTCTTGAAAACAGAAAGCAAATGGTGGATACAGGGGCTGAGGGACAGAGCAGTTGGGAGCGAGAGTTTAATGAGTACAGTATTTTATTACTGGGAAATGAAAAAATCTGGAAGGTGGTGATGGCTGTATAACACTGGTAGCCAGAGAGCTACCCACATGGTGTGGCAGACCTCTCCTGACTCTCCCACTGCTCCCCTCAGCAGAGTATTTCAATAGATTTGCCTGTTCTGCTCCCCACTCTGTCTCTGGTGAATCCTCCCCCCTCCCACACCTCTGGCCCATACCTCAGTTTTTGCATAAATAAATTCATCTTTTAAAACATGAATGAATGAATGAATGAATGAATGAATGGAGGGCCACGTTTTCTAGGAAAAGGAGAAAAAGAAGCAACAGTCATGCTGGGCAGAAGAGCAGCCACTGCTGCTCCCCACAGTGCAAAGTTTTATAAAATGAAACACTTGCATGGTCACAGGTGACAGAAGAGCTGGTAAAATTAGGTTGCAAAATATATTCATTCTATCAATATTCTATAAACATCTATCAAAATTAAAAAAATCTACCATTAACCGTAACTTCAGCAAGAATCATATGTATGACAAATGCAAACGCACCTACTATACTCCAGCCTTGATGACAGAAACCTGAAGCTCTTTATTAAAAACTACATTGAGCATCACTGACATAAACTCCCAACAACCAAAGGTCAAATGATGAACATCTGCGCTACCTGGTTTTACTCAGCGAGTGTCTGTGTCATGACCCTTGTTCAAACGTGTCCCACTGACCCCTGAGTACTTTCTCCCCCTGAACTCTGAGGTGTCACCACACCCTGGCCAGTCGGAGGCAGAAAGGGGAGCAACCTCATCACTGAGAAAACACATCCATCAGGTTTGGCTAAGAATGAGAACTGTAATGTGAAAGAAAGTGAACACACACACTCACACGCATGCACGCATGCACGGCGGTGCTGTTGTTAGCAACCATTAAGATATCAGGTAATACTGAAGAGTAACTTGCATTGGGTGAGACTAAACTTTGGATCAGAGTAATCCCTTTCTTGTGGCGGGAGACCTGGGCTGAGAAGGATCTAATTCCACACGGGAGGGCACAACACAGGACGAGGTTTGCATGTTGCATGAGCAGCAGGTGCCATTGGGACGGCTACAGGCGCAGTCAGGTGGGAGCCGAGCCTGTGGTACTAGGCCTGGGCAGGAGGCCCATGCGCAAGTGTAACTGGCAGAAGTGGCAAAACACAGTTGACTGACTCACTAAGGAGAAGTGCAGACTGAAGACGGGAGACCAGATCGGAACACAGGGACTAGCTACATTCAGAAGCACAAGATACTCAAGCATTCAGGGACACAGAAAATAAATCATCAGAGAGACCATGACAGAAACAAACACAAAGAAATTTGCATCTTCCAAAACACTGGAAATGGAGGAAAACTCACCAACACATACGACGAGGTCAGCATTGCCGATACCCTCCAAAAAAAAGACAGCATAAAAGGGAAAAATAGACCAACACCACCAAAGAACAGAGAAGCGAAAATCCTCAACAAATTCCAACCGAGTTAATACAGCAACATGGAGTCTCCCTGGTGAAGCAAGGAGTTAAGGCAAAGCACTATGAAGCTATCCACAGCCCCTGCAGCATGAGTTCGTTCCCCAGTCAGGGAACTCACCCACACGGCACACCTGACCTCTCCTGTCTCCTTGCTGTTCCCCTTAGTAGTGTATTTCACCAGATCTGCCTGTTCTGTTCCCCACTCTGTCTCTGGTCAATCCTCTCACTCACCACATGTCTGGCCTGTACCCCAGCTCTTATATAGATAAATAAATCAATCTATAAAATTCCAAATGGGTTAAATATTTGGTGATGTACTTGACAGAAAATATAGGGACACACTAAGGACAGTTGCCCCAAAGTGCACTAGGGAACACAACCCCAACACCCAGGAAAACAAAAGCAAAAATCAACAAGTGGGACACCACTAAACCTAAAAGCTTTCATACCTTAAAAGAAACCAGCCCAAAAACTGAAAGGCAGTCTACAGAACAGAAAAAGTATCTGCATGCTACACATGTGACAAGGGGTTCATTCCAAAATTTATAACATCCCCAAACAATGCGAGAAACCAACTGATGACTCAATTAAAAATGGACAAAGGGGGGCCTCCCTGGTGACACAAGGGGTTGGGACGCAGCCTATGAAGCTCTCCAAAGCCTCTGCAGCACAAGTTTGATCCCTGGCTGGCAGGGAGCAACACGCATGGAGCAGCAGACCTCTCCTGACTCCCCACTACTCCCCTCAGCAGTGTGTTTCAGTAAGTCTGCCTGTTCTGCTCCCCACTCTGTCTCTGGCGAATCCTCTCACCCTCTGCACCTCTCGCCTGTACCCCAATTCTTGTATGCATAAATGAATAAATCTTAATTAAAAAATGGACAAAGGAACTACATACACTCTTCTCTAGAAAGGGAATTCTGACATCCTACAGACAATAGGAATGTTCACCTTAACTTATTTTAAGAGAAATGTAAATTAAAAGCACACTTAGATGCCACCTCACCCCTTGAGAAGGCCCAAATGAAAATGAATGGATTTATACAAAACGGGGGGTGAGGGGTGAGAATTTTATGGGGACTACAACAAAGATGTAAATGATTACACTGTGCAAAAATGAAAATGATGTAAAATTATGTAAAATAGTATTTAAAAAAGTGAAACACTAAAAAAAAAAAAAAACAAATATGGAATGAACAATGCTGGAGAGAACACAGAGAAAAGGGAGCTCTCACCCACGGCTGGTGGCCATGACATTCGGAACAGACCCTGTGGATGAGGGTGCAGAGGTTTCTTAAAATAAAATAAAAAAAATAAAAACGGAAATTCCATAGCATCTGCAATACTTCTACACATTATCCTCACGGGAAAACTCAAACATAAAAAGATTTATCCCATCCATGAGCAGAGCAGCTGTGTTTCCAACTGCCCAGTCATGGCCCAAACTACATCCCTTTAGCAGAGGCAGGGCAGGAAGTGTGGAGCACACGCAGGGGAGCACTGCAGGGCTGTGAGGAAGGAGCAAAGGGCCACACTGAGGATAAAATGGGTGGGCAAGGAGGTGATATTGTTTTTTTTTTTTTAAATATTTATTTATTTATGCATACAGGAGCTGGGGTACAGGCCAGAGGTGCAAGGGAGGAAGGTGAGAGGATTCACCAGAGACAGAGCAGGGAACAGAACAGGCAGATAGACCGAAATACACTGCCGAGGGACGCAGCAGGCCAGTCAGGTCTGCTACGCCATGTGGGTAGCTCCCTGGCTGGCCAGGGGATGGAACTTGTGCTGCAGAGACTACAGACAGCCCCATCGGTTGCATCTCAAACCCTTGTGCCACCAGGGAGGCCCCGGGAGGTGCTATTCTTGAGTGAAATAAGCCAAAAAGTAAAGACACATATGAGATCGCTTGACTCATCTGTGGAAAATAAATACCCAAAAAACATTTACAGCCAAAATACTTGAATAAAACTTGAACAGGGTCATTTGAAGGTAATGATGACCACCAGAGGGAACAGGGAAATGGGTGGAGAAGTTAGGGAGGGAGGAAGACGGGGGACGGGCCAGAGTGTTTTGCTAGAGGGGGAAACTAGGGGTAGGGCAAGACACATTAGGATTGTAGGAAAAAACTGGCAACTATTTCAGCAGAAGGCTTTTAGTGCTACACATGTCAATGACAGATCGAGGAGGGAAAATAAGTAAAAGAATAAGAAAAAAAGTATAAGAAGCTTTAAAACAATTAAAAAAAATGAAATTTCCCAAAGGTCACACATGGTGTTCTCAAACATGGCAGGAACTTTTGGAGAGTGTAACTGGACTGGAGAGCATCTTAGGGTGTAGTGAGTGTCACTAGAAATGCATTCAGTCCACACCAAGGAGAAATGCGCAGGAGCAGTGGAAACAACGGCCAGAAAAAAGGACTCTGAAGAGTCTACTGGGCACCTTCGGTTTGCAGGCCACCTGAGAGAAAGGCAGGGGCAGGTATGTAAGGATCCCCCATTGGACTCAACGGCACACATGCCAAGACTGATGCCTGCATGAAAGTCTCCGAGAGTTGTGCAGGACACAGTGTATGATTTTAGCTACTGCACAGAAACCTTAAAAATTCAGTTGGGGCCTCCTGGGGGGCCCAAGGGTTTGAGCGTTGGGTTGTGAAGCTGCCCACAGCCTCTGCAGCGCCAGTTGGATCACCAGCGAGGGTCCCACATGGCGTGCATACCTCTCCAGCCACCGGCTGCTCCCCTCAGCAGTGTACTTCGGTCCTTCTGCCTGCTCTGCTCCCCGCTCTGGCCCTGGTGAATTCTCTCACCCTCCTGTGCTTCTGACTGTACCCAGTGCATTTATAAATAAATAAACAAACCTTGAAAAAAAAATCAGTTCTCCTTTCTAAAAGACATGTGGCTCCTTCACCCCCATTCTGCACTCAGGTCCTCAGGCCCCATCCTCCCCCTCCTCCATCACCCCGCACCGGACCAGCGCAGAGCTGGGAAGTGTTTCTGTCCAGCGGGGTGAAGAGCCACAGTCCACACCTTCAGCGTCATCAACCGCGACCCAGGCACAGACTCTGACTCTGCGTTGCGTGAGCACCAGGGCAGAGCCCCATCTTCACACATGCTGGACATGTGAAGTGCCTGGATCTACGCCACACCTTTCTCTGGTGAGGAATGTGTCCCTGGAGAAAACTATGTTTCTAATTTACGTGTCCGTTGAGTTACTCCCATAAAGTCAATGCACCCCAAGCTGAAGCAAACACAGCACTCACCAGAGATTGGTCCATTGTCGCTGCTCTCACAGAGGCATGAGGGCTCTGGAGGCGGCGCTGGGAGGGGCGATGGGGTCCAGCACAGAGGACGGAGGCAGCTGCACGGGGTCCTGGAGTCTCCTGTCCAGAGCCCGCCACACGCTGCCTGGAGACACCAGAGAGTCACTGCGGGTGACGGCCGTGTGACACTTCTAGCAGGGGCAGGAGAGGCCCTGCGAGTCCATTAGTGGCAGAACTTGGGTTTAGGGTTCACCATAACTTAGTAAAAGGTGACACTGCCCACTGCCTGATCAACAGTCACGCCAAGAACAACCGTCTCAAAGCTGAGGAGTCACTTCAGAGTGTGGATACGATTTCCAACGAGACGACGCCCCGAACGCACTGTTCTGCCAGGACACCCCGGCAGTGGCTCCGCGCCGCTTCCCGCCCTCCTCTCCGTGGACACCCCAACAGGGACACAGTCCCCCTGGGTGCTCACCTCCAGGATGGAGGCCTAATGCAGAAGCCAGCAGGACGCCGCCTGGGGGCGGGAATGCGAAAGGAGCCTGGAAATTCAGACAACAAGCCTCTAACGCAGCAGAAACCCCCCCCAAACCCGGGACCTCCCCACCCCCACAGGGGCTGCCTCCATCCTGGCAACCTGAGCAACGTCACCAGCCCACCTTGGGTCCATGAATCTGGCCCCGGGCGCAATACAACCCCGCCCAGAAACTCAGCTGGGCTCTCCTCTCCCTCACCGCCCGACTTTCGGGGGGCCCAGAGGAGTCAGCGCGCATGTGCACAGGCGGACCCGCGCTTCCCCAGGGCCCCCGCCTTGGGGACCCCGTCCCCCAGCCCCGGGAAGACCCCGGGCAGCGTCCGGGGTCAGGGCCGGGCGGCCGCGCCGGGGACACCCCGGAAAGGCCGGGACGTTCTCCCCAACGGCCCTGCCCCGCCCCCACGCGCGCTCCGGGGGGAATCGGCTCCAAAGCGCCCGACTCCACGCGGCCGGGGCCCCCGCTCGCCCGCGCCCCCTGCTCCCCAACCCCCCGGCGTCTCCGCTCACCCGAGCCCGGCCTCCCGGGACAAACCCGCGCTCACCTCGGGGCGCCCCACTGCTCGCGGAGGCGCCAGAACATTCGGACGGACGGTGGGGGGGTTACAGGGGGTGCGCCTGCGCAGATCGCGGAAGCCCCGCCCAGAAACCTCCGCGGGAACCACGGGGGCTGGAGACTACATTTCCCACAACCCCTTGCGCAGCCCGTCGGGCCGTCGTCGGGGTGGGGCTGCGGCCTGGAAGTGGGAGGAGTGGAGGTTGAGGAGAACCGGCAGGTGGGCGAGGCCTGTGAAAACTGCAGGGCCCATAACGGGTTCAGGACTCTGAGGGAAGAGAGCTCAACAGGGCCGCCCTGGGGCTGAAGGGGTTAAGCACCGCGCTGACTGACAAGCTATCTGCCCCCTCCACAGCAGGGAGCCTCCCACAGGGCATGGCTGACCTCTCCCTTCTTGCCCACTGCTCCCCTCAGTAGTGTATTTCAGTCAGTCGGCCTGTTCTATGCCCCACTCTGTCTCTGGTGAATCCTCTCTCTCTCTCTCTCTCTCTCTCTCTCTCTCTCACACACACACACACACACACACACACACACACACACACACATTTGGCCTGCACCCCAGCTCTTGTATGAATAAATTTTAAAAATATACATAAGAAGTTCACATATAGTCTAAATAAGACATTCAGCTACCAAAACACATTTCATCAAAATCAACATTCAGGTATTTAAGAAGCATCTTGACCTTCTGATATCTGGATCACAGAGTCGGTGTTCAACATAAAGATGCTTTGCTTAGCTAATGTGAATGGACAAGAATTCTACGCTGTTATGAAAAGCTTACCTGCTCTTTCATCACACGCTTGTGAAGATTTTTGTTGGCAACAAAGTCCAATAATATTCATGGCTCCATTACTACCATGAAGAAACATGAGGATATTAATAAACTGTTAGTTTATTCCCTGAAGGAGAAAATGATGAAATGAGTTGAACTTCAGCACGTTTCCATGTCTAACTTGTATGCCCACAATGAAGTCCACCACTCCTCTGGGTGATTTAGATCAATCTGTTCAGTCAGACACAAAGAGCATATCCATTTAGATTTTCATCATCCATGATACATGACACCATCATAAATGTACCCAAGCAATTGAGATGTAAAGAAACTCATCAACTGGAGAGGGTCCCTTAGATGTTTGACACATGAAAGTCAAACACTTGACTCCACCTACATACCAGGAGAAAGCCATAGAGTGAAATGATTTAGGGCTGAATTATGTTCATCAGGTCTCTTCACAATATCTCAAGTATGGTTGATTAAAAAAAGGACAAAGAAAATAACTATACAGGGCCCCAAACCATCGTCTTGAACTCTAATTTATTTTTTAAAGATTGATTTTATTTATTTATGCATACAAGAACAGAGGGGTAGGCCAGAAGTGTACGGGGTGAGAGGATTCCCTAAAGACAGAGTGCAGAGCAGAACAAGCAGATTGACTGAAACACACTGCTGAGGGGAGCAGCAGATAAGTCAGGAGAGGTCTGCTGTTTCATGTGGTCAGCTCCCTGGCCAGGGACCAAACGATAGCTTCATAGTGCTGTGACTTAACCCTCTGCACCACCAGGAAGGCCCTCAGACTTTTCAGTTATTCTAATATTTAGTATTTTAATGTTGGCTTATGCTCCATAAAAATTTTCTGACTTAAGGAATGTAAAGTGTTTCTCACTTCCTACTGTATTGCAATATCTTAATATGAATCTAAATTGCATTATTAATTACTTAATCATATCTTCACTTCTTTCAAGTTTCCAGTATGAAAACCTGGTTGCTTCAAAATTCATATTTGGACAATCCACTCATCACTTTCCATTTACAGTTTCTCTTGGTTTGCACTCTCTGATGTTTAGGATGATCTGACTTCTGGTTAATCACTTTGACACTTCTGGTTAAACTTCTGGACTTCTGGTTAAAGACACCAAAGTTGGGACCTCACTGGTGGCACAAGGGGTTAAGACACAACCTATGTAGCTATACGCAGCCACTGCAGTACGAGTTGGATTCCAGGTCAGGGAGCTACCCACATGGTGCAGCAGACCCCTCCTGTCTCGCCTGCTGCTCCCCTCAGCAGTTTATTTCAGTCAATCCGCCTGTTCTGTTCCCCACTCTGCCTCTGATGAATACTCTCACACACCCCCACCTCTGGCAGATACCCCAGTTCTTATATGCATAATAAAATAAATATTGAAAAAAAGAGACTAAAGTAAAAAAAATTGACTTCACAATTTTAACATTTCTCTCTGATGTGAATTCTCTAATGTAGAGTAACACTTGACTTGCGGTGAAAGGCTTTGCCACATTCTTCACATTTGTAAAGTTTCTCCCCAGTATGAATTCTGTGATGTTGACTTAAATGTGATGGATGGTAGAAGGCTTTGCCTACATTCTTCACATCTGGAAGGTTTCTCCCCTGTATGAATTCTGTGTTGTCGAGTAAGACATGACTTATTGTTAAAGGCTTTGTCACATCCTTCACAATTGTAAGGTTTCCCCTCAGTATGAATTCTGTGATGCTAAGATAGTTAAAGGCTGACAGTTGGTTAAAGGCTTTCCCACATTCCTCACATCTGTAAGGTTTCTCCCCAGTGTGAACTCTCTGATGTCGGGAAAGGTGACACAGCACAGGAAGGTGTTACCACAATCAGGACATGTATAGGCTTTTCTCCACCATGAATCCTTAGATGGTTAGTCAGCTGTGGATGCCAATACAAGGCTTTACCATGCTCTTCACACTTGTGAGGTTTCTCTCTGTGATGTTCAGTAAGTCTTAGGCACCATTTGGTAGCTTTGCCATATCCTTTACAATTGTAGAGTTTCTCATGAAGTACACGATGCTGGAAAAGTATTGAGGACTCCTCAATAGGATCCTGTGTAGATTTTTCATCTTCCTTTATAATTCTCTGATGTTGAGAATGACATGACTGAAAGTTTATGACAGTGTTTTGAATAATCATTAGCATTATGTACTAGGGGACTTCCCATATGTTCCAACATTCTTCTCAGAGATTGTGTCTTGTTAAAAATGTCACGTGGATCTTTGCTAACAGAAACATATTTATCTCTACCTGCAACAGACGTAAAATGGAGTTTTACCCAGCATGGTTTACACGCAGGATCACTTTGTACAGGAGGAATTTTGTTATGGATAATTGTCCCTTATTGAGAATCTTCATTTTCAACAACTGTTGTTCCCTTCACATGCCTCTTGACATGTCTGGTCTATCAATAATTGTAAATTCTCAAAGGTGCCCATTCCATCTCCTCCCAGTCCCACATATAGCAACAAATCTTCTGTGCCTGACTGTGGCATGGAGACCTGGTTGTCTTGAGAAGACAGGGCAGGAAGACAACGAGGAATAACTACCCCACACACAGAACTCAAGACAAAATACTTTAAATATTTAAGACATAAAATAAATACCATATAAAGACCCCTGACATGATTTTGGATAGGTAACATCAGCACTAGACAGCAACACACATGCTTATGAATAGGTAACATCCTTAGGGAAAGGTAAATTCATAGCAAATACAGATATAACCCTATAGTAAAAATATTGTTTCTGCTTCAGAATTTGGAAATATGGCACAAAAAAAATCATAGATTCATGTTATAGAATACAAATATCATGAGATATAATTTGTGATGTCAGTAGGGGTAGAAATGTTAAAGAGTGGAGTTTTGGTATGCAGCTGAATTTACATGGTTTTCACTTTAGAAAAGACTGTCATAACTATTCAACATGCTATGGAATGCCCATGAGAAAAAAAATACCGTAAAATACGTGGAAAAGAAATGAAAACAGAGACTGATGTTATGTGTACATAGGTTGGATGACAATGCTTTACAATGTTTGTAAACAATATTACAAACCAATATACCTCCATTAACATCAAAATGTCTGAAAGTGGAAGGAAATCAACAAGAAAGGAGAGAGGAATTAAAGCATATAAGAAAAGGTCAAAAAATATACAGTGATGCAGTAGGTTGGAAATGGGGTATAAAATGGCTGAGAATACTGCATCCGCAGTGGCACAGCGGTTGAGCGCTGGGTCGTGAAGCTGCCCGCAGCCTCTGCAGAGCTGGTTAGATCTCCGGCTGCCAGCAAGGGTCCCACATATTGTGCAGACCTCTCATGCTGCCCACTGCTCCCCTCAGCAGTGTACTTTGTCAATCTGCTTGTTCTGTTCTCCGCTCTGGTTCTGGTGAATTCTCGCACCCTCCCGTGCTTCTGACTGCACCCCGTGCTTGAATAAATAATAAATAAATCTTAAAAAATTAAAAAAAAATAAAATGACTGAGAATAGAGGAATCATTCTTTAATAAAGTTAACGCCTCCCTTTCAGTAATACTTTGGTGTAAATAAAAGTCCACAATACAATGACAAATGTGTCTGAATGAATTAAAAATAACACCAATTCAATCTTGCCTATATGACACTCAACTTAGCCTTCAGCGCACTATGTGGAATGTAAGGATGGAACTAGATTCTATGAAGACTAATCATGAAAATGGAGCCGTGTAGATCACTCTAATGATATGATCTGAGTCTAAAGCATCACAGAATGAAAAGAATGACCCCAGAAAATAACAGATAACTACCTCTATTGAGAAGTCATTGTAATATTACCTATACAGTAAGATGAGATCCTGAATGTGTGCCACAAACAAAGACAGAACTCAATGCAGAAGATGAAAACAATAAAATCAAGGAGAGGTTCAAGGCCCAATTGCAATTGGAAGGAAAATAATGTTATCAATTCAGGAATCAGAGTTGACAAACGGGTGAAAAATAATTCAAAATGAAAGAAGTGGTATATAGACAGGATGAAATACTAGTGAGCTATGAAAAAGGATACATCTGGACATGTGCAACAACAACAATGGAATGCTGGTGGAGGATTATGCTCAGTGAAAAGAATCAGAAGGAGAAAGACTTACTGGATGAATTCACTACTATTTGGACTTTGGAAAAACAAGGCAAAGAAACTGACATTACAAAAAAAATTCTAGAAATAGGACTGCAGAATGAGGGTA